GAGAAGCCAGGCAAAAATGCAGGCCATTTTACAAAGCGCTGAAGAAGCCATGCAGTTTTCTCAGTTGCAAAGAATTCTCTCATCGGCATGGGAGCGAGAGGGAGGAAGGTCCTGAGAGTGTCCTAGTATGCTTCACCCTAATCCTGTACTGTCCAGCCTATGATTCAGTTTTCTTCTGCATTTGAAGCAGTGGTAAAAGACCATTTTTCACCATGTGGTATTAGTAAGGGCTACCAACTCCCTGAGTGTCAAGAAATGTGGGGCTCAGCTTTTGGAGTCATCTGAATGCATGAGGATCTGCTTTCTTTTTTAAGGAAAAAGCCCTTGTACATTTGGAAAAAAAACCTAAAAAATAACCTCAGGAGCCAAAGGTAAACAAACAAACAAAAAAACCCCCAAACCAACAACAAAAAATGTAATTTTGTAAAATACCCTTATTCCTCCTAAACCAAGCTCAACAAGCTTGGTTTTTTTTCTTTTGCTCAGTGACTAGAAGAGTTAGGCACATTCTGCTTGAATGGTAGGAGTTAGCAATGCTTCTCCATAAATGACACTGCTCTATTAGCTTTTCAAGCCTAATGTTTTTTTATCCTTCATTTTGAGTATTTAAATATTAACATCCCTGATTTCTCCTTTATTTTTCTTTTTCATTTTTTTTTAAAGGGGAAGGTTTTTCTGAAGGCCTTTCCAGGTTCCTCTGACCTCTGTTATAACGCTATTTGCTTGGTGATGGTCATGAGGCTGCAAATGGAGGAGGAAAGGTGAGAAATGAGAGGAGATTCTGAACCTGCAGAGCTTATTCTGTTCTGTAAATATGTCTCTTGCACTTTAAAATCACAAAACAAAACATTAGCAAGAGAATTTTTAAAACTCTCTAGTTTTCCCATTCCTAAGCTAGATGAAATATATTCACTTCTGATGTTCTGTGGACCCTGTTAGTCACCATCTTTGGAGAATCTGCCAGGCTATGCAGGGTCTCCAGGCTGGTGGCCTGTGATACCAACAGTTGTTTTGTCCTGTAATGTGTGTGCACAACTCACTGTGACATTAATGGGACCTAGACACACATTCAGGACAGGATGTGCTTGGCTGCATCTTAGAGACATGCTAAACTGGAAAGGGGATAGGTTGGAACCATAGTGCTATTTGTCCACATCTCCTGATAAATATCACAGTATTGCCCCGTTTTCACGGTATTTGACCCCACGCTCCCCCAAAGCAATGAGTTCCACATCTCAATGCACGCTGGAAACAAGGCACAACGTTTTCGATCATTGTTCCCTAACCCTCAGGGTCCGCGCTGGGATCTCTGTAAAGGTCAGCACTGCTCTGTTTCTGTGCATTGTGTTTTTTGCTGCTGCTTGATGGGCTTAGGACTTGTTTTCCTTGACGTCTCTTGTTGCCTTCCATACTAATGATTGCGTGCTTTTGAATTACTGGAAGGGTGTTGTAGGGAGGTGCCAGCACTAATGGGCTTTAACTTTCCTCCGCTTTCCGGCTGATCCTCAGACCAATGGACCAATTCCTGAATTATTTCTTGTCCTGTACTCCGTCCATTAACCCTTTGCAGGTGGAGCGGAAGCTGTCTGAAAAACGGGAGGTGCTCAACCTGTTCAGCTGGCTGTGAAAGCTGGTACTGCTCTAGCCTGTCTGATTCTGCACCTTTCTGTCCATCCACAAGCTAAGTCTGATCTGTGAGTGCTCAGGAGTGTTTCAGAGC